AATCAACTGACCTGATCCGGTTAGTTTTCATCAGCTGGTGTTGTTAGGCTAGTATAACAATAGACTATAAATTTTCATTAGGTGGTTGCATTAAATAAAAGCGTTTGTGAATGCTTCAGATTTGCTGTCGCATTGTCCATTCTATTACTTCTGGGATATTCGGACAGGTCAGCGTTGTGCTTTTGTTTGCAAGCATTTTTTGACGTTTGCGTTAGGTTTCTTTTTCTGGTTTTTTGTCCGTTGGAAGTAAAACAAAATGCCGGATACGGATTTCGTAATGAAATGTCGCGGGCTGCCATGGTCTTGTACAGAAGATGATCTACGTGAATTTTTTGGGGGTTAGTTGATCGTTTTTTTTTTTTTTTCACTTTATTAAGCCAAATATGGAAGTAGAACAATGTGAGGAGGTTATGAGGTTAAATTTATCGGTTTCATATTTCATCTTTATACTTCGCTACATCAAACGTGGAGGGAAATTTAGCTATCTTCTCAACTTAATACATGCTGGATATGAAAGGTGTTTGAAAGCTTATTCATGAATCTCATCTCTGTCTTGGAAATGTTAATTGTCGTCAGAAATGTTAACTTTCGTCGGAAGTGTTCATTTCACTACAAGTGATGTACTAATAAGTAGCTTTTTAGCTTTTTAACCATGTCTAAGAGGATTGTTCTGAATGAGGACAGAATGGAGACTGAAACTGAAATAGCAGATATTTGTGAAAAAGGTGGATTACACTACTTTTATCAAGTGTTATGTAATTTAATAGCAAACGAGTTATACTTTGATTAATTTTGGTCGTAAATAGAATCTATCAATTATGGTGTAAAATTCATCTTCAGAAGCAGCAAGATCAATCACTCAGATAAAGCTGACAAAAGACCGTGATGGACGTGCAAGTGGTGAGGGATTCGTTGTATTTAGTAGCCGAGAAGATTATGACTTTGCTTTAACAAAGGACAAGAAATATATTGGTAAACGGTATGTGGAGGTTAGTTTTTTCAATTGATTTATTCATTCGAATATTTTGTTGTTATGGTAAATATTTTCTTACAATTTATTGATTTGACTTGTCGTTTAAACTCTCCAGTTTTCTAGGTCTTAAGGCGGTGTTTTCTATTTGGATATTTAAAATCATATGTGCTGAAATGGAACACGGAATGAAATAGTGTAAATAGTTAGAAAATGTGGTTGCTTAAATAACTAAAGTATTTTCTTAAACACTCAAATCGATCTATATATATATATGATATTTCTTATAGTCTCTCATTCTTGTGCGCTCCTTCTCATTTAAGTTATTTTATTAGTGCACCGTTTTATAATGTATGTTTCAAAAACCATGTGTCTTTGCGGTTTATAAACTGCTTTTCGAATGGAAAACTCGTGTGGTGGTAGTTTTTCATATTATTGTTAAAATAGATTTTGAAACTAGATTTTTTAACCCGTTGTTATGATATGTATTAAATTTCCGAGATATTTTTTCTTAATACATTTGTTAATAATGTTCTATTGTACTGAACCTTCACAATGTCTCATGATACTGAGCCTTTTTAAGCTTCAACAAGTTTCATCGATGGAATCGGATTATGATGATAGCGATAGGCGATATGGAGGATCATTGGCAGATCCAAATTTGCCTACCCGTGAGACATCTATTGTTAGATTGGCCGGCTTACCATATGGTTGTACCAAAGAAGAAATCGTTCGTTTCTTTGAACCGCTTGAAATAGCCGATAGAGGTATGTCCTAATTATCTAAATCCATTTAGCTTGTTCATGTTGAAGGAATCCATTGTTTATGACTTTGTTTCTCTTTCTGCAATGGAAGTGTTTGCGTTTGATTAGAAGAATAGTTGTTTAACAGCTTCAAAAATTTTAGTTTATTTAATGTTTATTTGGCAGTAGAAGATTTGCATCGTTTGCAGTCTTGCTGTTAGTGTGAATATTTAGTATAGAGGAATATGGAAGGTTGCTTTTGCGATATTCTTCATTTACTAATTTTTTTAGGTATTGTTATGACTTACGACCGTTACAGTGGAAAACCGAAAGGCGAAGCTTTCGTTGCATTTATTGATGATGAGTCGGCCTCAAAAGCTCTTGCTAAAAATAAGGAATACATTCAGCATAGGTATTGCTCTATTAGTCAGTTTAGTATTCTCAATGTTTAATTTCCAATGCTTTATTAAAATAAAAAAGCTTTCGCCCATTGTAATTAACAGGTATGCTTGTCAAATCTGATTTGTGTGTGTTTTTGAAGTTGACCATATTTTGTTATTAAGATATGTGGACATATATCCGTCATCTTATGGTGAGATGCTTCGAGCTTTGGATGGAGGTCTTGATCCGTACGGTGGTGGTCGGGGATGGGAAAGGGATCGTCGCCCGAGAGGGTTGCCATATGATCGTCCAGGTGCTGACCGGGGTTATCGTGATTCCAGAATGCATCGGAATGGTTTGTTTATTTCTAAATTTTTATAAGTAACAATCAGATATGAAAGGATCAGCACAGTATGGGTTGATGAAAGGGATCGTCGGTTCAACTTTTGGGGAAAACGGGGATTTTCTTCTGGAAGCCACGGTGGAATCTGGTTAGGAACGAGTTATTTAGCAAATCTGAATATTTTGGGCCTTGCTGGAAAATCTGGAAATTTCTGAGGTCACTGCGACCTTGGAAAACATTCGGGAATCTGCTGAGCTATGGTTGTGTTTTGGGTATTAAATGTGAATGTGAACGGGGGGTTGCAGAAGTATGGGCCGACAGATACGGTGGTAGTGGCGACGGTTATGATGATGGGTACGGTGGTGGACGTGGTGGTGGAGGACCGATGCGACGGGGTTGGAGAGATGAACCGCCGATGGGTGGCCATAGGGGGTATTCACCACCGCGGCGTCGTTATACGACGCCGCCACCGGAATACTGTATACGGATGCGCGGTCTTCCATATCGGGCCACGGAACGCGACATAATCGATGTAAGTTGTAATAGTAAAAAGTATATTTACCTACCTAGAATAGGCTAAAAAAAAGCTGAACAGAGGGAAACGAATCTGGCGAATAGTGCTGTTTCGTGTTGGGGACATTCTTCTGCTTATATTCGGAAGCAGCATTGATTGGCTAATTAATTAACGAAGGTCTGCACATTTCTGTAGATTGGTTGGTTCAGTTTTTGTGGATTGGTGTTCTGGATTTTGAATATGATTTGCGGTCATTTCATTACTTTGAGCAATTTCTTGATTATCTTGGCTTTATTTATTCCTTTTTTTTTTGGTACCGATCATGACTAATAAATTATTAATTGTTATTAAGAGCACCAAGAGTGCGAATGATAGTTGCACTTTTTATTCATTTTGTAATCACTGCTAATCGAATCTTTCATACAAAATGGAATATATGGGCAATTTTTTACTTTTTATCAGTTATATTAATTGATCATTAATGCATTTACTAATTTGAAACCCTTATTATGTGGTCTAGTGAAATTTCAAAATTTGTGACTTTTATTAATCTCTTGAGGTTGTTCATTGTTCAAATTTAGTTCTTCCAACCGCTACGACCAGCATCGATTGATGTGTTGTATGAATATGGAACGGACCGTCCTAGTGGTGAGGCAATTGTCGAGTTCAGAAATCGAGCGGATTTCGATGCTGCCATGCAACGCAATAGAAATTATATGGGTATATCTTTGTTGTTCGGAATCCGGAACTAAGTAAACCATTGTCTAGTAAAGTCCATTGACTCAAGTCTCTAAATCCTAAGCTTTCGGCCCAAAGAAAGTGCAGGGAGGTTTAATTTTTCTTGTGTTGATATTGTAAGCAGTGATTTCGAACGATGAACGAAAAAATTATGTTATTATATTCATTCGCATAATTTCTTGCGAAATGTCATTCTATCGATTTCAGGATCACGTTACGTAGAACTCATCCCGGAACATTAAAATCTGTTATGGAAGAAACCACGAATTTCCAGAAATTTGATCTTGTAAAATTTATATCAGCTAGTAAGACCGTTCAATACAAATGTTCTTTCCAGTATTTATTTTTTTGTCCTATTTTGTGCTTATTTACAGGCAAAATATCAAGTAAAGAAGAGCTCTGCTACTCTTCTGCTTTTTGTTTTTTGCGGTCTCTCAAATTTTCAGTTGCTTCGTCCTTCTAAAGCGCAAATTTAAGGTTTCCTAGCTCCTTGTATTCTTTTTTTTTTGGAATTTACATTTTTATAGCTACCAAAATTATCCTAGATTAGTCGTGCTAAATGTTTATTTCTATCCTCTTTAGGGAACAAGTTTTGTATTTTCCGTTGCATTCTTAAAGTAAAGCATTTAAGCAATTTCATGATCATTTCCAATATGTGTACCTGTCATGTCATTTATCCACTGTTACATTATAAAATTTGTTTGTGAATGTCAGTATAACTATCAAATAAGTGAAAAATTTCTTTAGCAGTGCATTTAATGACTTTGTTTAAATATAATTTGGAAGTGAAGAATACAGGAGAATCGGCTTCATGTTTTCTTTCGACACGCTTAAACACTAATTGTGTCAGCAGGTTATTCTTAATAGGTATGCAAATTCCTCGGTTCAGGATTTGCATAGCTTTCAACCAGTAGAAATTTAAATATTGATAGTGCTACATAAGGCCCTTCAGATTTAATTTGGGCATCTTTTTTCATCGGGTCTGGTACAGTGATGTGTATTGAAAACAAAAGAGATAGGCGGTGGTTGGTAGACCCGTGAGTTTCATAAGCATTGGTGTCGCTTGTTTCAGTCTTTTGTGTTACAAATTCTGGAAGAAAAGGGAAAGACGGTTTTAATATTTGAGGTCCACAGCGGTAATATAGTTGTCCATCGAAATTTTATTCCCCTGCACTTCATTTACTTTTTAATTGAGTGAAGTGAATGAAGTCATCAACTAACCTTCAGTCATGAAGAAAGGGAAAAAAGTGCTGAAGTTCTATGAGGAAGCGTTGTAGTCTTCGTGTGGCATAAGTGGTATTTGCAGGAAGAATGGACATGGGAGGATTCGTAATCGCGGAACAAATAATGTTGGAGAGTCAAACATCATTGGAGATTCTGCTGTGTATGCATCTTCACGTCATCTCGATCTCAAGTTTCTACGTGATTGGGAATCCAGGTATGTAAAATAATCATCATTACTTCAGAAACCATTTTTTATACTCTATTTTACAAAAATCACTCTACCTGGGAGCTCAGTTTTTAATTTCTGTTTTACAAAAATTGTGATTTGGCTAATGCCTATGCTATCAAATATAACGATTCTGGTTTGATCTAAGTATGTTGTTATTCAAAGCCATGAAGACTGTATGTCGGATAATGTTTTATCTCATTAGCAAAGGTGTCAAATATAAAGCTTAAAAATAATCTTCAACCTTCCAGACCTTCTCTTTATCGAACATCGTCAGTATTCATTACCACATTCAATGTTAATGGATGTATACCAACTCTGGATGGAATACCGAGTTGGTTAAATTGTGAAGGCATTCTTCCACCTGATTTTTACATTATTGGGTTTGTTACTTTCATTTAATGTTGGATAAAGAAAGTGAATCATGTTAAGAAGTTTTTTCTTTCAAATTATTGGTGACTTTGTACTGTTTCTAGAACTTTTCTGTTTTTCCTTTACATTGAGTATTATCTGTTTCCCAATATTTCCATGGTTATTAACTTTCAGACTTCAAGAAATGGATTTTTCTCCACAAGCTTTCATAATGAATGCATCAACACGACACATGGAATGGAAAGTCATTATCGCCAAATCTTTTCCGAAAGGCACTCATTATGATTTGGTTAGTTTTTTCATTCTCTTTCTTCTAGTTCGAATTTTGAGCTGACTATTAATCTTTTATATGCATTCAGGTAAGTGAAATACGATTGGTAGGTATATTATTAGCAGTTTACCGACGTATAGGCAGTAAAATCAAGGTACATCCATCCGAAATTGACGCAGTTATGGTACCGACTGGACGATATAATGTATTTGGAAGAGCACTGAGTGATAAGGTATACTTTCTGGTATTTATTTCTTTGGATATCCCTACTAGGATTAGGTATGTTGGCATTACTGAATTCCTAATGTTTCAGTGGAATTATATGACAAATGGAATCTTAAACTTGTTCTAGGAGTTAAATGCTTTGAGTATTTGAATACAGCGGCAATTCCATAGGTGATGAAAACAAAAAAGCTTTGATGAATCATAAATGATTTGAGAAAGATATAGGATTATTTTTCAAGAATTGTTTTCATATATTGTAATATATGAAAACGTTATCTGAGACAAATGGATTCATAGGGTGCTGTTGCGATCAGCATGTGTATGAACGATACAGCAGTTTGTTTTGTGAACGTACACTTTGCTGCTCATATTGATGGAAATGAAAAACGCATCTTGGATTATAAGTATGTTCAAGTTTGTAGATAAATTTCTTTTAAAAATTCAAACTTAGTTTGATTATTGACGGAATTCATTCTTGATTTTCCATTTCAATATTTCTATTTCGGTAAATTTCAGACATATAGTCAAAAATATACGTTTTAATAAAAATGGTAAAACTCTTTTCGAACACGATGCTGTTTTTTGGTTTGGTGATTTAAATTTTCGCTTGGATACTGCATATGGTATGAATAACAATGAATTGCGTAAACTATGCAACGATGATGAGGCATTCAGAGATATGCTTGTTTACGACCAGGCAAGTTAACATAATTCGGAAAATTCCAATTATTGGATAATTTTTGTGATTATTAGTGTTGGAGAGTGTTTCAAGATTCTGAGCTTTATTTTATATAAAACGATTTGTTAGATCTTAAAAGTGAATTTGATACTTTTTCTGGTGGTGATGCATAAATTGTAAAATGGAATATTAAACTCTCCGTCTGGCAGGTTAAGTAGTCGTTCACTAATAGTGTCATATTAGAACCGTGGAAATCATATCAAAACAATCTCCTAAGCGTTATTCTATGTGCTAGATAAGATTTAAAGGAAAAAAAAGCTTTCCAATAGTGCTTTTGCATATTTATAACATAGCAAAACATCAATATTTCTTTGTTTTAATACTTTTTTCTTATGTTTTAATACTTTTTTTTAGTACCGGTATGTTTCAGTGCTCTTTAAATGTCCAACATTACTAGAAATATATATATATATATTTTGATAATTTTTGATGGTTGCAGAACAGTCTATCTAGAAAGAGAATTTCCGGATATTGTAAAATTTGACATGATTTATAAGTTTGGTTTAATAGAACTTTCGTATTGATTCAGTGAACTTATTAAATGAGAAGGCTTGATTTTCCTTATAATATTACGGTTATGTTGAAGAATACGAACTATTCAGCTTAAAAGAGCGATGAAACTCAAAATTATATTTAAAAATTTCAAAGAACCGGAATTTTTGAATTTTCGTCCAACTTTCAAATATGATATTAACTCCGACAAGTGGGATAGCAGGTCGTACCAAATGCTTTTCATTAGTTTTTTCTGTTTTCCTTATTTTAGTAGCTGCTTTAAACTTTTAAAAATCTCAAAATTGATGCATTGTTTGGAGGAGTCGTTTTCACTTTTCGAATATTAGTTATCGTATCTTTTGTCATATAGACTTACATGCCCACTTTAATTATTGGTAATTTGTATGTTGTGAGTCATCTTATTATGTCAGAGATATCTTTTCCTCTTATTTGCATCTATCTAAGATATTATAATGACTTCATAGCTCTCTCAGCATTCAACTGCTGCTAATCCTCAAGTTGATTATCATTCCATTTACACAGTAAAGTAAACTTTCAAATCATAATTTTCATGATTCTTTTTTTCAGCAGAAAAAAACGTGTGCCTGCTTGGTGTGATCGTATTTTATGGTGGAATCAGAAAGGAGTCCACATCAGACAGAAATTTTACGACAGCGTACCATCCATCAGATTTTCAGACCACAGACCAGTTAGGGCTCTTTTTTACTTGGGTGTACGAGAAATCGATCCGACTGAATATGAAAAAACTTACCGAAGAGCGTTCAAGGGAGGGAGTCGTCGTCGTAATGATTATCGCTATAAGAAGGAAGAAACGAAGGAGTGAAATTGTGATTCACATTAGATTTGTCCTTGTGATAATTTTTTTAGTTGTGAATAGTTCAGATCACTGCAGTTAATTTAAGAGGTTAATTCAGTTATTCGTCTCTTTGATTTTCCCAAATTTTGCTTCTTAATTCTCAGCTATTTTTATCAAATTACTAGCTTTTTAAATTATCAAAAGCTGAATTTTAATAGTCGCTCAAGACTTTAGTTTTGGCCAGCATATCTGTTGAAGATTTGTAACTTTAGACTAGCAGAGAAAAATTGTTTCGGAGTTATGCTTCACAGCTAGGATTTTTTCATAGTTGCTCCGATTTATCGCTTTCGCTTTCTGAATTTATCAACAAATTCTTCCTACTGAAAGCTAGTTGCCAATAATTTTTAATGTAATTTGAGAAGCATCCTCTACACTGCCAAGCAGGCTGCGCTAGTTACCACTTTGAAATGCTTCATCAATAGCAGTTTTAAATAACCAAAGACTTCCCGGTTTATTAAAAAAAAAAGAATATTTTAATTAGCTCACTGACTACTATCATGATGATACACTTACGGTTGCTGCAGCGATTACGAATTGTTTTCGTAATATAATTTTAATCGTAATGCGTTATATAGTGATGCACATGCACAATACATGTATACATTTCATATTTACAAAGCTGAACTGAATTGATTTGCCGTGCCTTATTTTTGGCCTTCAATAACTTAGTTTATTGACTTATTTCTTTATATTTGTTCCTTTTACGCTGTTTTCCTTACATAATGTATTTTCTCGTGATAAGAATGAGTTCGAATAGTACCACACTTGACAAAATTCTTTTTCTTATCATAAAATAATAGTGTCAAAAGCTGCATTAAGGATTCGAAAACTTTCTACAATTTATAGATAGTTTATTCATGGAAAGCATGGTTGGAGAATGACCTTTTATACTGCTGGGAATATCATATCAGCGCTTTCTCGTCGAGATGATATTGAGGAAGTCATGCGTGATTGGGAAAGCAGGTTAGCCTATTTTTGTAAAATTCAAGAATTCTTGCCGTAGTCGGGCATGTTTTGTAATGGTTAATGAATCTCCGTTGTGGTTACATTTATTATTGACAGCTGATATATACCCATTTCCTACTGTCATTTAATTCTGCAGTTCCTCTTACTTTTCCCAATGCATTATTGCTCATAATTCATATTATATTCACCAGTACATTAAATATAAATTGATCCGTGATTTGTCTTATTGGTTCATTCTAAGGTATTCGACATATATCACAACATCAATATTCATCACAACATTCAATGTCAACGGCCGAATGCCAACTCATGAGGATTTGCCGAATTGGTTAACGTGCGATGGAGCATCTGCACCAGATTTTTATGTTATTGGGTTATTTTTTGTTTTAGTATGCAGTTTCAAAAATAAGTTCAACCTTTATCGATTTCCAGCAATGTAACATGAGCTATGAGCTATTGTTTCATTGGCTTTTTTGACTGAATGTTCTATCTATCACTTCCAAAGCAAAGGAAATATACTTTACAACGTATTAAAAGAAAAAATAAAAAAAAAAGAGCTTCCTTGCAGTTTTGAATCATTAGATATTTATTATGAATTCAAAATAAATTTTTTACAGTTTCTGCATTACTAACAGCAAAGTAAAAAGAAATTTCTGGGATGAATGAATTTACAAAACGCCATTATAGATTACAAGAAATGGACCTTTCTCCTCAGGCTTTCCTCATGAATACTTCAGCACGTCACTCTGGATGGCAGATTGTCATTCAGAAATCTCTTCCTACTTCCGCCAACTATATTCTGGTATTGAATTCCTATGTTTTGATATAACTGCACTCATTTTCTTATTTTAGTTGGATTGAGAAAGATCTAAGTTTATCGGCATTCTCTTCTCTCGATTTTTGCTACGTTAGTGTAGTTGCAGCATTTTTGTGATCGGATTATAAAAAGAAAATATTTAGTTTCAATATTCCTTGATGTGTTCCTTGATGTATTCAAAGTGTTTTTTACAGGTCCAAGAAGCGCATTTGGTTGGTATATTGTTGATGATTTACCGCCGCATTGATTGTGAAGTTCGGGTTGAAAATACAGCAATTGATGTTGAAATTGTACCAACTGGTTTCCCCCTACTGGGTCGTATGGGTAATAAAGTAAGTAATATGATAGCAGAATGATCATTTGAAAGATAGTGGTGATTTTGAAGTGATATGAACAATGGCAGAAGCTCACTTAGTGGTAGTTTTCTTGCATAATTTTATTTTCTGCATAATATTTACTGATTTTTTAAGTTATTATTCTTATATTCGTGTTTTATTTTTTTTTTTCTTATATTTCAAAATACTTTTTTAGCCTTAAATCATTGCAGAAGTCGTGTATATCTTGCTATTATGATTAATGAAAAGAGTTTTCAGCATTAGCGAGAAAAGAATTTTTCAGAAAGAAGTGAGATTTTGTTTTGTTTAATTTCAAAAATTACTTTAGGGTGGTGTGGCTATCAGTTTGCAGATTAATGATAGCTATCTTTGTTTTGTGAATTCTCATTTTGCTGCTGGACAGGAAGAATTGGAAAAAAGAAATCAAGATTACAGGTTAGTCTAGGAGATAAAACAAATGGTGTAATATATTTATTTACATTTAAAACTAGATGTATTGCTCAGGGATTTATGGTAATACCATATGTTTTAGTTTCTATTTTAGGGAAATATCACAAGTTCGCTTCCCAAAAAGCAATAAAAGTTTGTTTGATCATGATGTCATATTCTGGTTTGGTGATATGAATTTTCGTCTGGAAACTAATAGTGATTTGAGTAATGATGATTTCCGTCGTCTTTGCTATGACGAGAATGCATTTAGAGATATGATAGTATTTGATCAGGTGAGCTTTTAGAAGTATAGCAAAAAAAAAAAAAAGAAAAATATTACATATATTATCGTGGTCTTCCTTTCCTAACCTTCTGTATTCAAATTTTGAAGATGATATTTTTAAGATAGTTCAACCTTTTCTGATTCTTTGATGATTCCTAGTCAAGAAACATTCATTTCAGATTAGATCATTTTGGATATTAGTTATGTATAAATTGATTATTAAAAATTTTTCCAGCTAAAAAAGCAGAAAAAGCTTAATCATATATTCGTTGATTTTAAAGAACCAGATATTTTAAATTTCCGCCCTACGTATAAATATGATCCTGGAACGACAAGATGGGATACCAGGTTAATTACGAATTTCTTGCTTGCTTCTGACATGACTTCGAATCGATCTTATATATCTTTATTAGTATTATGGGATATACGAAAATACAAATTCAGGACTGCCATCATGAGACAATATGAAGATTTAGTCTTTTTTTCTTTGTGGTTTTGCTCCGTTTTGCTTTAATTTTTTGCTGAAGTTTTTCCAACTCTATATGCTCCATTCTTGAATTTTATAGATGTGCCGCTGTCCTGTTGTTTCCAAATAATGTGAGTATTTATATGTTTCAGTGATAAATGTCGTTGTCCAGCTTGGTGTGATCGAATTTTGTGGTGGAACCGTGATGGAGTGAATGTCCGGCAAAAAGTCTACGAAAGTGTAGAATCGGTGGTATTTTCAGATCATAAACCAGTGCGATCTGTATTTTATGTAGAAGTACGGCATGTCGATGAAGCTAAACGGAATGCTTGTTTGGAAGAAGCTGTACGGGAAGCAGATCGCCGTGCAAATGAGGCACTTCCGCAGATTGAATTATCGCAAAGCGAAGTAAATTAAAAGTATTTCCTAACTGATAAGCTTCAGTTCTAACAGTGACCTAGTGTGTGTGATCAAAGTTATTCTCTAAGCAGCTTCTTAATTTACCTTGAATGTTAAGCGATACACCATTTTCTAGAACTTTCTGTACAGTTTGCAGTCAGTTTAAACTTTCAGGTGGATTTCGGTAAAGTGTATTTTTTTCAAAGTGCATCTAGAACAATAACAGTTAAAAATACGGGTAAAACGAAAATTTCATTTTCGTTTGATGCGAGACCAAACCGTGTTGCATTATGTGAACCTTGGCTCTCTGTTACACCGCCCAATTCAAGGCTTCAACCGGGTGCCTCCTGTACTATTAGTTTGCAGGTTTTTTCACATACAGTTTCTATTAAACATTTGCAGAATTTTAATTTGTCAGATGGCAAATAAAATTATCCCGTCAAATGTTGTTATTCCTTTCTCAGTACTAATGTCATCTCACGCTGAGCGTGTGAATCTTCTAAAAATGGTTTATTATGTCAGCTGATGATTTAGTGTCGAAACAAATCTCTTTGCTGTGGCTTATAAACTTTTAAGTGTGCTTCTAAAATTGGAAATAACTTTCTAGTCTTTTTACAGATTTTAATTGATAAAGCAGTAGCATGGACAATAAGTGGAGATGAGAAACTATCGGAAATCCTGGTACTTCGATTGCACCGTGGAAGGCATTATTTTGTTACTGTTTCGGCTCATTATCAGTACAGCGCTTTTGGTTCATCATTTGTTAATCTAATTCATATGGAAAAAAAGAAAACATCTGCATCTGAACTTAATTTGGTATGAAATCTGGTTTCCAGTGAAACAAAATTATTGCTATCTTAAAGGGAAATACAAACTAGTGAGAAAATTTAATAATCTAAAAATAACTATAAAAAACTAAAAATAAATTAAAAAAATTACTTAAGCCTGATTTTTTTAAAGAATTGAGATGGTAACTTTCATTAGTTAATAGCCGACTGTTGATCTTAACGCCTCAGTGCTAGATTAATGAAAAAGCTGAAAAAAGAAAGCTGGTGAATAAGTTTGATACATAAATTCTGGTCACAGTTTATGTGGAACTGCGTACTGATTTGCAGTGTACTTTATAGAGGGATTATTTTTATCTCCTGTTTTCATTTGGAATTTCTTTTCAATTTATTTCCAGACCTATAGTCCTGCATCACTTATATCCGCTGTTGTGGCTGGCGTACCGGAATCTGTTTTTCGTATCAGTGAAGCATTAAAACAAAATGG